AGAGGGGTTCCAGTACCAATACGTTTTTAACATAATGGTGCAATACATAAACATGTGTCACCCTCAATAGTAAACATTCAGCTGTTAGTCTGCTTGGTCTGATTTCTTGCAATTAAGATATAATTATAGACTATTAAGTTCACCCTTTTATATGGCTCAGTGGTTTTCAGAATATCTAAGAACTTGCATATCAATTTCTACTGATTCCTGTTTGTCTAGTTTTCTAAAAATAATAAAAAACAAAAGTGCAACTTCTGTTCAGTATACATCATTCGCTCCTTGTGCAATTTTGCTGCTGAAAACGAAGTCTGTGATGTTAGGGCGATGTCAGCCGCCTGCCAGCAAGCAATCCGGGCTCAGACAGTCTCAACAACGGCAGCAATTTCCTTGAACTGTTTGTAGAAATTCTGGAGGAAAATGGAAAATAGGATGTTCATTTCACTTTCAGAGGATACCCTGGTGGTTCTTTTAATTCTAGGTTAAGTTAACATGCCAAGTTTTCATCTTAACGTTAAATCCTCACTACGATTGAAGGTTGCTTTTAGGAACAAGTGGGTGAAATCTGTTGCTACAAGCAAATACTACTATATACTTGGATAAATCGCCCTTGGCTAAATTTTAAAAAAACAAAAGTCCTGCATGCTAAAATTCTTTGAAATCAGAAATACTCATCAAATACCCAGCATTGTCTCAAACATCCAAGATAAAAATACAAGTACAGTTTCCAGGCCTCAGCACATCTTAAATCCAGTGTAATACTTCATTTCAGGATGGTAAATGCTTTTCTAATTACGGTATGGGTTCTAGTGCAAGAGAGAGACTTAACACTGGCAATAGTGTAAATGCTAGAAGCTAATTTCTCTTTCATTTAAAAATCTAACCTGTGGGCTGGGATATTTTCTCAATATTCAATTGCTCTTGTATATAAAGCTTTGTTACATTAAAAAAAAAAATTCTAACCTGGTCTGTTGTCTTTCCTATACAAATCGCCCTTTTTTAAAAACCTAAGATAGGATCAAGCAAATTGTTTGCCTTTCTTCTCCTACACCTGCCAAGAATTGGCCAGGAAGCAAGGGAGGCAGATATGAAAGTTATCTAGGTGAAGAGGAAAATAATACCCCAAATGAAGAGGGAGCAGGAACAGGGTGAGCCATGGGGGGCGAGGGGAGGGCAGGGGGAGAAGGGCTGACTTGTTGTTGAAGTCTTTAATGAGAAAATTATGGCCTGACATGTACAACCCACCTAATCCACAATAAACATTTTCACAAGTATACATATATATATGTGTGTGTGTATATATATATATATGTATGTATATATATATATATATATAGGAAAGTTACCTATAGCACTTAGAATAGCCCCTTGATGGTTTACTTATGTGCATTTTCTTTATGGGGTCTTAAGAGTACACGGAATTGATTTGCAACTTAAGAGTAAATGTATTTTAAGTCAGATAGAAATCAGAGATTCTTTACAGAATGAAGCCAGCTGTAACTATTTCTTTCAGCTAGTGATAAAGGCAGAAATTACGAGTCCAGAAAATTTTCCTTAGTGCTCAGTCCTGTAAGGCAACTAACTGGCAGGCTTAATTTGCTCATTAAGTTATCGTTAAGCAATATACTATTACCTTTTTAAAAACCTGTTCCAAATTGTAATGATTTTTTTTAACTATAAGAAAAATATTTCTAGAGGTAGAATCAGGAAGCAAGAATTCTGCACAGAAATTAAGATTTCGGCCAGCACTGACATGCCCCAAGCACTGAAGGTCACAATGACAATTCTTGGCTAAAGCTGCCCATCACAGATGACCTGACTGCTGCTGGTATTTGAAATACTGGTGGTAAACTTCCCGCATCCAACTGCAAACAGAAAGCCCTTAAAGTCTTCCTTTGCAAAGGTACCAGTTACAGAAAAATGCACACACCTGAAACTGTGGAATTGTCATCTCAAAAGACTTGTTCTCCACTTGGCCCGAACGGTCGACTACTTTCAGCATCACTGCAACGTATGGATACTTGAGAGACCTGCAACTGTCCGAGCTCACGGCCATGCCCAGCTTCCACTGCAAATCCACGAGCTTCCATCAATCAGGAGAGAAGGCAACGTCAATAAGGGCACGCCCTTGGATGCAGCCACATATTCAGTCTGACTGCTCTCACTCTCAATTTGTCATTTCCAGGCTGTCATAAAGTACCATCATTTGAGTGTGCCAGAGGACCAATGATCAAATGGAAATGGAGAGGGATAATAGGGATAGGATGCAAAGAGTTTTCAACTCAAACTCACTGCATCCTATAGGACAGAGCAGAAATGGCCTCATGGGTTTCTGAGATTGTGTCTGTATGGGAGTAGAAAGCTGCATTTTTCTCCCTCGGAGTTGCTGGTGGTTTTGAACAGTTGACCTTGCAGGTAGCAACCCAATGTGCAATGCACTACAGCACTCCTTTTGTAAAGAGTTAAAAAACCTTTACGTTTTTTCTTTTTTAAAAAGAGTGTCCTCATACTGAAGACAAGACAC